GATACACAGTTACCTGTGAGGTGTAGGGAAGCTGGCAGGGTAGTTGGAATAGTATAGCCCCATCCGCTCAGAGCCTGTGTGACACAGCTGGTCCGGGTCGATGGAGTTACTCAGTTTCTCTAAGCAAACGGTGTTTGTTTTTGTTTTTGTTTTTTAGAGCTCTGCAGATGGACAGAGTCACAAATGCATAAGATTGTTTTGGGTCTTGGGATCCTGAGTCTCTTTCAGAGAGGCCAATGGTTATTTTATTGTTAGAGATAATACATTTAGGGATAAGATGGATTAAAAGATCGCAGTAAGGTGTATGTACTTGAGTCTGTTTAAGTTAACTAGCATAGTCCAGGCTGGTCCTCTGTAGCAAAGGATGACCCTGAGCTTCTGATCCTCCTGCCTCTGCACAGTAGGGCTAGGATCACAGGACTGCACTCTACCTGGTCTCTTCTTAACCTCCTGGGGAAGCACTCTGCCAACGGAGCCACACCCTCAGCTGTGGAACTTACATTATTTTTACTTTATTATTTTTAATTACGTGTTTGTGGGTATGGTCTGCATGTGGGCATGTAATGTACCCAAGAGGCCAGAGGCATTAGAGACCCTAGAGCTGGAGTAGAAGGCAGTTGTGAGTCACCCAGAACAGGTGCTGAGAACTGAACCCAGGTCCTTTAAAAAAGCAGTCAGTGCTCCTAACTGCTGAGTCTCCCTCCAGCCCTTAAATCTGTTTGTCATTCTTGTGTCTTTTCTTGTCACATGGTTTCCTCCCCTTTCTCCTTCCCTTCCTACTTCCCTCTTTCTTTTTTTTTTTAACAAGGAAGTCTGCATTGCAAAAAAACTAAAAGTGGATTAACTCAAGAAATCAGATAAATATTCATAGATCGTTACTCAGCAATCATAGCTGTCCAATGGTTCACTGACCCTGTAGCTAGCTGAAGAGTGCTGAATTTTATGGCTCATTTTCCTTAGGTACTTTCACATAGGTGAAATTTGGTTTTTTATTTAAAAACTATGCAAGAGGAACTTTGACCTTGAAGGTGGGAAAGAGACCAGGGCTTTAATATATAATGTGTTGACTTTCTTAGCTCATTCATTCTTTCATTCATTCTTGACGTTGAACGGAGGGCCTCCTGCATGTCAGCCGAACCTTCTTTCTTTCACTAAACTATATCCTAAACCCAAATAAGTTCATTTTAGATTACAGAACTTGGATACTTGCTGTAGGTAGTAAATGGGGCCACACACACACACACACACACACACACACACACACACACCAAGCCCTGTGCCTTTCAAATCTTTTAAAGTCAGAGGTTATTGGCCAGCTCTGATCTGCAGGTCTGTAATCATCTAACGTGGGTTTTGTGGGACTTCAGAGAAGCAGGAAGGCAGCCAGGTAATGAATGAGCAACTTCAGGCTCTCCTTCCGCCTTGATTCACCATGGGCATTTGCCAAGATAGCCAGCAAGAGTCAGGTGAGCTTGTAAAACAGCTCTGTCCCAAGAGGCTTCCGTCCCTTATCTTGCTCACAGTGTAAGGTGAGTACTGCTGCAGTTGGTGGTGCCTGGTCTACCCCAGGAGCTGAATCTCCTGGAGCAAGCCAATGAATGACATCACCCACTCTCACCGGGTTCCAGCCATCCTCTCCTTGCAGAAATCAGGCTTCATCGTGATGTCTCCCAGCTCATCTTAGTTGTCTTCATGACGCTTGGTTTTCTTGGCATCGCCTGTTCATGTCACTGATCCTGTCCACCAAGTGTTCCTACTCCTTAGTACATGCCACCTGCCACACACCCTGTGCACCCAGAGGGAGATAGATCCTGGCTGGGTGAGCCGAGCTATTTAAACAACTGTGGATGAGTTAGCCGGTCATCTGGCAAAAACACTCAGTTAAATATTCAGTGAAGGCCAGGCAGTAGCCGCACATGCCTTTAGTCCTAGCACTCGGGAGGCAGAGGTAGGCAGATCTCTGTCAGTTTGAGGATAACCTGTTCTGCAGAGCGAGCTCCAGGACAGGCTCCAAAGCTACACAGAGAAACCCTGACCCAAAGACTTAAAAATAAATAAATAAAATACGAATGTTAGGCCTAAAATGTCACTGCATCAGAGGCACAGGTAAGCCTTTCAGTTATCATCAGTAGGACGCAGCGTGCATTCTTGCAAAGTTTCAACTCTGCTGCTTGCATGGCCTACTTTACCACTGATGGTTGTGATCTTGCGTTGGCTGGTGCTGATTGTCACATAGGTAAGATTCATAACTGACGGTTATAAGTTAAGCAGTTAAGAGAGCATACTGTTTTTGCAGATAACCTGAACTCGGTAACCTGCACCCACATTGGGTAACTCGTACCCACCTGTAACTCCAGCTCTAGGGAAATCTAATGTCGTCTTCTTGCCTCTGTGGGTACAACACTCAAGTGCATAGCTCATACTCCCATACACACACAAATATAAATGATTGGGACTATTAAATCTTTTTAAAAAGATAATGAATATTAATCCCTAGAGCAAAGAAAACAAAAACATGCAACCCCAAAGATAGAATGGATATTCAGTTGCTTAAAATGCATTTATTTTAACATACACTATAGGGTGGTAACAGGGCCAATGAATTACATTGTTCTATTGTGAGACTCTCCTTTCTGTTTATTTGTTTGCTTGCTTTTAATAATTTTTCTCCGAGACAGGGTTCCTCTTTGTATCCCTGACTGTCCTGGACCTTGCTTTGTAGGCCAGGCTGGCCCCAAACACACAGAGATTCCTGCTTCTGCCTCCCAAGTGCTGGGATTAAAGGCGTGCACCAGCACCACCTGGCAAGAATATCCTTTCTGAAACCCCCTATGCAGAGAGTTTAGCTTGAAAGTGCACAGCGATGTCCTCAGCAGTGTGTCGTGTGCTGGGCAGTGGATTTCTTATCTTTGTGAGCGCTTGTGTTGAGGGCTGTAAATGGAGACTTGTGGGCCAAGGCCCCATGTCTGGTCAAACGGTCTTGATTCGCATAGAGAGCTCTGCTGTGAAAGCAGTTGTGTGTTGCGGGAGGGAGGGGCTCGGCTTTGTGGCTTGCTTTTATTTTAGCTTTAAAAAATATATTATTAGTGGGGGGAGAGATGGCTCAGTGGTTAAGAGCATTGCCTGCTCTTCCAAAGGTCCTGAGTTCAATTCCTGGCAACCACATGGTGGCTCACAACCATCTGGAATGAGGTCTGGTGCCCTCTTCTGGCCTGCAGACATACACACAGACAGAATATTGTATACATAATAAATAAATAAATATTTTTTAAAAAATATATTATTAGTATCAATATTATTGTCCTTTTGATTTGAAGTCACCCGAGTTTTAGTTTTAAAACACAAGGGAGCACAGTGTCCTCAGCAGGGTCTGGTCACAAGGAGGCAAGGGGAGCCCAGGTTTGGGGTACGAGACGTGAGAACACTAGGAGAAATGAAGAGGTTGTGCAGATGTGGGGTTGCCTTGCAGCTTTTCAGGGGTGCTCCGGTGTTTCTACACAGGCAGACGTCAAATTCAGTTGGCTAGGTGCCTGAAAGCCTGCCCACAGTGAACAAGAGACTGTCTTTGGTTAGGATGAGAAGACTTGTTTCCGAGTTTCCCTAGTGCTGAGGCTGGAACTCAGGACCGTGTAGATGCCAGGCGGGCCCCGAGCCACACCCCCTGATCCTGCTTTTCTATAACGACATTGGTAAAGGCCTCAGCCATCCCCCTCTGGCATTCCCCAAGCTATCTGCACACTTTGAATACCTTTTATGAACCCTTCGCTGCCCTCTTCCCACAGCCATACGCTCCTTTAGCCTCACCTCTGAGCTCCATGGTGGCCTTGGCGGCTTCTGGGCCCACGCATCGGGTCCTGCCAGCTCGAGAGTCTGCACTCGTTTTCCTAATGAGGCCGTTGTTTGCTTTCTAGCCTCCCCCACTGTTTATAAAATACGCCAAGAGAACCAAACACCCCACTGTTCTCAGTACTTACTTACTTTCCCAAACCAAATGTTTATGTCCTTGAATACTAAACTTGAAGAAAAAGGATTCCTCCTCGTGGGAAAGTGACAATCACCGAGTTCTTTCCGAGCAATGGCCAGAGGTCTGTGTCTCAGAAACTCAGAGCTTATCGGTGACTTTGGGAACTATTCAGACCAGCTTCCTTTGCCTTGTGTGTGTGTGTGTGTGCGCGCGCGCACACACGTGGGAGCAGATCCTCCGTCTTCCCAAGATGCCTCTCAGCAGAGTTTGGTTTGCTCTTAGTGTACAGAGTACACAGAAAGGAGATCCAGAGTCAATGGTTTAAAAATCATCCATTGAGCCTGCGTGCCAGTATGCCTAGCTTTAGCCAAACTTGTAGAAGAGTCAGTCGGTGATGGATAGAGTTCCTCCTTGGCCTCAGTGGAAGGCCCAGCAGCACCTGGGAGCTTCCAGACAGGTTACACCTTCCCAGAGGACTGAGAACCTGAGGCCTGTGTTTTTTGGATGCTGACCAAGTGATCCTGATGTTCCCCTGCTGTGGAGTTCCCCTGGCCCTTCTGACTGGAATCACAGTCTGTCTGCCCACGGGTTGTGTTCTGAGCACCCACGGGCTGCCTTCCTTGTGACTTTTCCACGGAGGAGAAACTTTCCCTTGTTACCTTTGCTAGATTGCTTAGAAGAGTGTAAATTGCATCATTTATCACAAAATGTGCTGTAGACATATTGTTTATATAAGTAAAAGAGACCAAAGGTGTTTTGGTCTGGTCCGCAGAGAAAAGAAAGGTATATTGTGTTTCTCCACCCCTTCCTCTCTTAGACCTGTGGTGTCTGGTCAGAATGCATCCAGTAAATTTGAGTATTTGACAAGCATTGGGCTTAGAGAGTATTATTTTTTATTAGACTTGTCATTCCTAAAGTCAGCCTTGCCATTCACTCGAGTTTCATCTCCAGTTTGTTCCTGGTTACTGAACCTGTCTTTTAGGGAATGGTTTTGAGGTGAGTTCTGTTCTGATCGATACCTATCCATGTTTGTCAGTTGGTGGACGAGTGAGTCGAGAATTAAATTATACCCGGCAGAAGATAGGAGAAGAGGCCATGTTTAATCCTCAACTCATGATACAGACTCCAAAAGAAGAAGGCGCTAACGTCCTGACCACGGAGGCTCTCCTACAGCACCTGGACTCGGCTCTGCAGGCCAGCCGTGTGCATGTCTACATGTATAACAGGTAAGGCCAGCTGTGCTGTGTGCACCGGCCAGCAGGTAGGCCTCTTGCTTCCGGAAATAACTTTGCCTTTGGATTATTAAGTTGATTTCAACAGTTTTCTGATAACTTTAGAACCCAGGGTTTCATTGATGTTACACAGTGCTACCATTGATCACTTCCCCCGTTGGTTTGTTTTTAGAGGGTGTTAGCAAAATACTACACATTGACTCTTCCTTATCCAAAGTGCTTGGGACCCAGAAGTATCTCAAACATTTAAAATAAATTTATTTTGGAATATTTCCATGTAAGTAATAAGATTTATTTGGGGGCAAGATCTAAGACTGAAGACAAAACTGATTTATGTTCCAATATGTCTTATATGATATTTTAGTACTTATTTTTGTGCAAAAAAATGGAGTTTCATTGTATGGAATATTCTATTTGTGGCATGATGCTTTTGTCCAAAAGTTCAGATTCTAGAGCTTTCCAGATGTGAATGTTTGAGATTAGGTATATCATATGCATGTTTGCCTACATGTGTGACAGAGTACCCCATGTGTGCAGGTGTGCAGTCTGGAGCTGGAGTTAGAGAGTGTGTGCTGCCATGTAGGTGCTGGGAATCAAACCTGGTCACCTTCAAGAGCAGCAAGTGCACTTTACCTCTGAGCCATCTCTTCTGCAATGTATTTCGACTAAGTATCTTGGCATGGTTCACAGATGGATGCGGTTCTCTTGTGGAGGTTACACGCTGATCTTTATCCCACTGCTTAAGATATTTTTCCCCCAAATTGAATATTTTGTTCACTTTGTAAACTATCTCCATTACTGAACCTTTCTTTGGATAGTGTAATCTCAGCAGGCAGAGGGAGGGAGGAGAGGGGGGAGGAGGAGGAGGAGGAGGAGGAAGTCTTACTTTGCATGTACAGGTGACATTAGTTGCAAAGCAAATGGAGGGGTGGGTCTTGAGTTTCCCTGGGAATTCTCTGGGATGTCCGAGTGAGGTAGATTTATACATACACCTTTTAAGGGAGTTCTGGAACAGGATTAACATCTGTTCCCCCCTTTATCTGTAGTGACTTGTCTATCCAGTCAGTCCCTTCAGGGTAGGAACCACATGTATATGTGGCCCCTGGCGGAGCAGGGGAGGTCAGGTGAGCTTTGGAAGATGTGGACAGATCTTAGCAACCTGCTGTGTTCCCACCACTGGTGTGCACTGTAGAGAAGGCAGCTGCCTGGCCTCGATGGCAGGAGTTGCAGTCAAAGGCCCTATAAAGCTCTTGGCATGCCCCGGGTGACCCCACATACATCGTATGTTAACACCCACTCTGAGGCATGTGTCATTCACATGCTTGAGGACAAGATTGAAGGTTCCCTACTGTGGGCTGGTGAGATGGCTCAGTGGTTAAGAGCACTGCCTGCTCTTCCAAAGGTCCTGAGTTCAATTCCCAGCAACTACATGGTGGCTCACAACCATCTGTAATGAGGTCTGGTGCCCTCTTCTGGCCTGCAGACATATACAAACAGACAGAATATTGTATACATAAAATAATAAATAAATAAATATTTTTTAAAAAAAAGTTCCCTACTGTGAAGTGACATCCTTCTCAAAGACGCTAAGACGAGCCCTTGCATAGTCGATGTATGTATATTTTAGATGAAAAATAAACTTAAAATGAGATCAAATGGAGCATTTGTCCAAGATCCTAAGGTTATTAAATGATCAGTCCAGGTTTCAAACCCCTTCTTCTGGATCCACACCCAGTGAATGATCAACAGTGTCTTCCTCAAGCAAACACAGAACTGGCTCATCAGATGGCATTGAAAACCTACTTGTAATGTTGGATAGTCTGTGCTGGCACTACACAGAGTTAATGAGGTGTGTGTGTGTGTGTGTGTGTGTGTGTGTGTGTGAGAGAGAGAGAGAGAGAGAGAGAGAGAGAGAGAGAGAGAATGAGTGTGTGGAGAGAAAAAGAGACCTACATGATCAGCAGGTAGATAAGTAAGAGGAAGGAAGGAGAGATGGTGAATGAACGAGAAATACAATCACAGGTTGGCACAGACAAAGCCAGGCATGGGCAGTACCCACCTTACTACATACCCCAGGTATGGGCTAACAGCCAGGACTCTACATGAAGAACCATTTTCACCAGCATTAGGCAAAGAAAACTTACAGCAAGAAGGTAGACTTTTTAAAGGGCACTGAGCGAAAGATGGGAAATTCTAGAAAGAAGCGTAGGGAAGAGGGCACCAGTGGGTGAAGACAGGCCTCCTAAGAAGACCAATAAAATAGAGCAGTTTGGGGTGTGTGTGTGTGTTAGTTTTTATTTTCATTCCTTTGGTTTCCCATCTCTTCTCTTTCCAAATATCCTTTTATTTTTGATTAACACTTATTTCCCTAAACACATTAAAAAGCCGTGGGTTTAAGGTCATGTCTACCAGACTGGGAATGCAGTCCTACCTGGCAGAGGTTGCTTATAACATTTGTGCTTAAGAGGAGGAATGTTTCAGACTTGACCTACAAGTAACATCTGCTGGTTTAAAAAAGAAGGATAAATAAAAGCCAGCAATGGTTTCCCACCTGACAATATCCCAACACTTGCTACACTATCTCAAGCTCCACTTATTTTGAATTTGTGATAATGTCACTGGATCGCTGCAGGTTGTTTAATGTATGTGGAAAAGCAGATTAATGGTGTAAACAAGATTATTGGTAGAACACTTAAGGAAACAAGACTTTTCAAGTACTTGGGTAGCGTTCATTTACATAAACACCCCACATGTTAATTACGATCCAGTGTTATCTATTCATTAAAACGAGCTTGCCAGCTTTCTGCTTGGCAAAAGCGCTGCTGGTTTTGACAGATGCTTCAACGTGATCGAAATTACAGCCTTTTGATAAGTCCTGTTGCTCCAGTTCTTAGCTCGTTTCGTTGCGGTAAGAAGTGTTCTGTTTTACTTTTCTCTGCTTTTCATCCCAATAGGCAGTGGAAGTTGGAACATTTGTGCTACAAATCAGGGGAACTTATCACGGAGACAGGTTACATGGATCAGGTACATGCTTTTCTTGTTTGCAAAGAGGGAAAACCCGTTCACAGTTTCAGGAAACAACCCCAGCATCGAGTGTTAGCCTAATGCACTCCTTGTTTTTGCTTTGACAGATAATAGAATACCTTTATCCTTGCTTGATCATCACACCTCTGGACTGCTTCTGGGAAGGGGCGAAGTTGCAGTCAGGGACGGCGTACCTCCTGTAAGTGTGGCCTCAGGGTCGAATTGCTTGGCTCTGTCACAGTTTCCGGTGTGCCTTATCATTGTTTATTCTGTTTCAGTTTTGGACGAGGAATAAAAACATTGAAATTCCAAGCGCATTTTTTTTTTTTTGAGTGAATGGTTTGGGGGGAGAGAGGGGACTTCAGCAGAATGTTTTTTTTTCTCTTTTCAAAAACAGTTCTGTAGGCATCATTAAATTTCATTCACTTTTACCAACCTATTTATATGCAAATAAAATGCAAATTACCGAGCAGCCCGTGCAATTTTTTAAAAACTCTTTATAAAATGTTTGCGGTTACGCAGACCAGCACTCAAACCTTTAAGAAGAGAATTTATTGCTGGGTACATATCACAAAGAAATACATGAAGCTATAAGATTCAAGATCTTCCAGCAAAGTCATATATTAACCCTTCTTGGGATTGCAGTAATGATGTTTAAGGGCGATATACGCCCTCTGTTAAGGCCATGACAAGGGATGCTTCATAGCCCCGGCAGTTGGGAGTCACACACACCACATCATTTAAAGACTGATGGTTACTCAGTGTAGACATTTTTCAGCTAATTACGCAAGAGTTAGTGCTTGGGTTATTGTTTCCGTCCTGGCCGGCACATATCTGCAAAAGCAATTTGCAGTGGCCATCCCCTGACCTTCAGTGTACAGTTTTAGATGGGAAATAAGGGGTTTTGTGTTTTCTGGTTGGGAGAGTCTGAATAATGACTTCAGCCTGGTTAAGCAGCTACAGTGCGGTTTGAACCACATAGCAGGCAGCCAAAAGCCTTTCTGGTCTGTCACCAGTGCAGTTTCCAAAGTGAGTGTGGGGGAAGTGGCTGTGATGGTGGTGATGGCAGGAGCCCATGGGGGGCTTGCCCACCCCACTGCCAGCCTGCCAGAGAGGGCACATAAGAATGAATTGTTGACGGTTACAGGTCAGATGCTTGATTGGTGACATTTAGAAAGCCTCTTTTAAAACTAGGAGGCACTGATGTTGTATTGTGATTCCCTCGTTTGGTTTTTAATTTTGGATCTCGGTGTCCTGCTTAGAAATACCCACCTCCTCTCCTCATTGGCTAACTTTTTTAAACATATTAAATACAACGTTAGGGGATTAAAAGTCTCTGATATCTGTGTTAATTTGCAAGCTCCCTGCTTGTCCCCTTTAGTCATGAATTCTTTTCCTGACTTGTTCATAAGTAGCTTTATTGGGGAGGAACACTCTATTTTCCCTTCTTACCCAAGTCCCAGAATTTTGCTTCGCACAGCCTGTTTTGCACAGATGGAGCCACGGTGCCCTCCTGCCTGTCTGAAGGCGGTTGGTTTTCCATGGCCTCACCTCTTAATTTCTTTCGCAGAGGTAAGCCCCCTTTGCGGTGGACAAACTTTGACCCCTTGGAATTCCTAGAAGAGTTAAAGAAAATAAACTACCAAGTGGACAGCTGGGAGGAAATGCTGAATAAAGCCGAAGTTGGCCATGGGTACATGGACCGGCCCTGCCTCAACCCGGCTGACCCAGATTGCCCCGCCACAGCCCCCAACAAAAATTCAACCAAAGTGAGTTTCCAGAGAGTGTGGGGGGAAAAAGCCTTTTCTATTTCATCCTCTTCCTCTATTACTTTCATCTTAAAGATTTCATTTGCCATGAGTTTTGTTCTTTTTTAATTTGGTGTATGGAACTAAAGTTGTTTACAGAGCTAAAGTTTTGCTGTAAGATTTAGCATAACCCTCATTAGTCTCGTTATTAATGTTTTCTCTGAAACAAACAAGTCCTTAACGCACTGGATTTTAACGAGGCATGTGACCTGCCTACTAATTCCCGTAATTATGTGGCTGTCTTTTCATTACAGCCTCTTGATGTGGCCCTTGTTTTGAATGGTGGATGTCAAGGTTTATCCAGGAAGTATATGCATTGGCAGGAGGAGTTGATTGTGGGTGGCACAGTCAAGAACGCCACTGGAAAGCTGGTCAGGTAATCCAACACCGTACCCCACACCATCCCGTATTTATTATTGGACTCATGTTAGTCCTAGCTAGCTGTCCAGGGTCAGTGAATCTGAGGGAGCATGAGCACATCAGGCCAGTTTGCAAAGTTTTCTAGAATGGATTTGTGGTTTCCACTGGAGCTGTAGTCGTTGGTTTCAGGGTTTTGAAACGTCTGGCCTTTATGTAGACTCGTGGGGCAAGAAAATCCATTCATAGTGTGGGATTGAGTGGTGGGAGCTTCAAGAGTCAAAGCCCAGGAACTACAGCCCATATGAGAGTTAGCCTTTGTGCAGCCAGGGACTCCAGTCAGTCAAGTGTCAGGTGTTCCATCTGAGGTTTCTCCCTTGGGACCCTGTCTCTGGGATTTCTGCACACAGAGAGTACGTGGCTGAACCCAGTGTATCTGGTCAAGCTATCTACTCCCCTCTCCTTCCTGTTTCATGGAATAGGAACTGAGAAAGGAAATTGCCTATTAATTTAATTTTGGGGTCTATCTGTAAAAGGTTTGTAAGGTTACACCTTTAATATGGTACATCAATCTATTAAATACAATAACCATCCTGGTCTTGTTTGAATGGAAACATGTGCGCACAGAGGACGGATGAAGTCTGGGGGAGAGTTGGGGGCGCTCACGCGGGACCTCACGTTGCACACACTGCTTGCTGGCGGTGCTGACCTGCCTTCTGTCCATTTACCCTGACACAGCGCTCACGCCCTGCAGACCATGTTCCAGTTAATGACCCCCAAGCAAATGTATGAGCACTTCAGAGGCTATGAGTATGTCTCTCATATCAACTGGAACGAGGATAGGGCGGCAGCCATCCTGGAGGCATGGCAGAGGACTTACGTGGAGGTGAGCCCCTGCCTTGATGTCAGGGACAGCTTGTAACTTAATCCAGTCTTCATCTCCTCATTGGAAACATTGTTTCCCCTTAGGTTTAGTGGGGTTTTCTTTGTTATTGAGTCAGCCAGTACTCAAAATATTGTGCCGCCCAGGCAGTCTCAAACCTTACTCTCCTGCCTCAGTCTCGTGATTGTTGGGGTTACACCACCTCCCTCAGATTAATTTTCAAGACATTTTAATTCTGAGTACTGCATGAGATACAAGCTTTTCTTTATCCAGCTGTGTTAAGACTTAGGAGTAGTGTCTGAAGAAACACTCTTTCTTAGCAGGGATGTCCTAAAACATGCCTAGTAACTGTTTTGAACTCCAGGGTCCAGGCATAGCAATGTGAAGAAAAAAAAAAAAAACTGGGTGAGCAAGAAAAGGTGTCTGGAAAACATTAGCAAGACAGAATCTATTCACAGCTGCAGGCCCCTTGGTCAGGTCATGTGACAGGAGACTGGCCTTTGTTTCCCAAGCAGTGACCTCTATGGAGCTGCCTGTGACCTTTTGAAAGTGGCCAGCAAATGAAGTGGGGGGAGGTGGAATTTATAAGAATGAGTCCTTTTGGATTAAGAAAGAGCAGTCTCTGGCTATGGAGGGTGAGAGAACCTTAGAGTTACAAAGTAACACACTTTGGGTTTCTTAGAGTTACAAAGTAACACATTTTAGGTGTCTTAGAGTTACAAAGTAACACACTTTGGGTGTCTTTCTGGTCTCTGCTCTCCCTTGATCCCTGTAACCCACTGTAGAGGGAGGTTCCTCTTCTCTCTTCTGACCACTTGAGGTCACATGGGACCTTGTGAAGCATCAGCAAACAGTATGGGGTGCACGGTGGTGTTCCCCCAAGGTCTGTGCTGGTGAAGCATGTTGATGCTTTAGTTCCTTTCTGGAATTTAGCCCCTTGTCTTGTGACCTCAGGTGGTTCATCAAAGCGTTGCCCCAAACTCCACGCAGAAGGTGCTTTCCTTCACCACCACTACGCTGGACGACATCCTAAAATCCTTCTCTGACGTCAGTGTCATCCGCGTGGCCAGTGGCTACCTACTGATGGTAATTCTGGGCTCCCCCAGGGTGGGGTGGTCAACTTGGTTTGAGCTTGTTTGTTTTGGAATTTTAGCTCTTTACTTTTCTGTGACGGCACCTGCTTTTTAGCTGCTGCCCCTAACGTACAAGTACACCCCCAAGGACACCCAAGACAGGGACAGCTCAGCCTTGTTGTATGATGTTTGTAGTGTAAGATTTATTTGTTGGAGTTAATAGGTTCTACCTTTGGATGTGGGGCAATGGGAGGGGGAAAACATTAGAATCCCCACACATTCTAATGTTTGGCTCTTGTTTTGTGTCTTTCCCCCACCTTCTCTCCATTCCCCTCCGCCCCCTCCCCTGTCGTTCTGCTTGCAGCTTGCCTATGCCTGTTTAACCATGCTGCGCTGGGACTGCTCCAAGTCCCAGGGTGCCGTGGGGCTGGCTGGCGTCCTGTTGGTTGCACTGTCAGTGGCTGCAGGATTGGGCCTCTGTTCCTTGATCGGGATTTCCTTTAACGCTGCAACAACTCAGGTACTGCAGGGACCGTTCATCGCTGCCCTCTGGCCAACACTTTGCCCAGCGTGCCCGGCCCCCTGTGTGTCTATCTCACCTAAAGATTCTGCAAAGCCTTTTCCATTGGGCTGGCTCCCACTGGGCCAGTCTGTTCTGTGGGCTAAAAATGGTTCAGTAGGTAAAGATGGCTACTATGCAAATTTGGCCGTCTGAGTTCCATCTCTAGAGCCCATATAAAAGGTGGAAAGAGAGAACAGGCTACAGAATTGTCTTCTGACCTTTGTACAGTGGGCTGTGTGGTGCACGCACGCACACACACCATGTGCATATACACAGATACACATTCATACTTTTTTTTTTTTAGTTCAGAGATGCTCTTGGTAGGTAGAGACATTCACTTAGAACAGCGTATATAATTTACTGGTTCCTAAACTCCAGTAAGCATTAGAATCACACTGAGAACACAAAGATGGCTGGACCCGGTCTATATGGAGGTACTGTCTTATATTTTCAGTTTTTCGCACTGATGCTGGACTGGGAATCACTAGGAACCACAGCTTTAGATACGAGTTAGCTGGCTTTTCATTTTTACTTCTAAGATAAGTTATTGTACCTAAACCTTAGAAAGAAGCTTGTGAGAACATCTCTGAGTCATAACTGAAAGGTTTTAGGGATGCAGACTTCCGGATAAGTATGTTGTCCACCAAACTGGCCTGAGCGCCCCTTTGGCACCTGTGGGGCACTGGCAGCCATGTTTCCCTGTGAAGTCTTCCCTGGCTAATGCTGTGGTTTACCTGTCTTTGCTGTAGGTTTTGCCATTTCTTGCTCTTGGTGTCGGTGTGGACGACGTCTTCCTCTTGGCACACGCCTTCAGTGAAACAGGACAAAATAAAAGGATCCCATTTGAGGTAACAGTCGGAGGAAAGAAGGATGTCTGGGGGACTCTCAGAGCCCACTCTCTTCCTTGGCATTTGTCCTGTAGTTTTTCTGCTGTCTGGTCAGTCTCAACTCAAATGACACGTCACTCTGAGAAACGCCAAGAGCCCCATTTAGGGTGCCCATGGAAATGGGGGGGTCCTAGCATTGTGCCGCATGCTCCTGTGCCATCTCTTCTCAAAGCTCAAGGTTGTTTCTGTGGTTTTCTTTGGCATCGGGTTTGCATTAAGTCATCATTGTCTTCGGCTTTCCCATTCGGGTGATGGTAACTGAGGAGCATGTGACCTTGAGGGAGACATCAGCAGCAGAACCTGGTGCTGGAGGTTCCTCAGACCCACGTCCTCTGGGGTGGGGGTGGGGGCTAGTTCAGAGGCAGCCCTTAGGACTGTGGTTTGTCTTCCTCAGGACAGGACCGGGGAGTGCCTGAAGCGCACAGGAGCCAGCGTGGCCCTCACCTCCATCAGCAACGTCACCGCCTTCTTCATGGCTGCCTTAATCCCTATTCCTGCACTGCGCGCATTCTCCCTCCAGGTGAGTTTACAGTGGGCAGGTCCCTGTGGCTTGTCTGGTTAGTGTCTCCTCTCTGCTTCACTTGAGTCTAGCGCTGATTTTGCAGATCAAGTGCATGCCAACAGCATTTGGGCCATGGTGCTGCTGGGTAGGTGCTTCAAGGCATGACCTGGTACTCCTCCCAGGTCAAGTGCTGGGGCTCTTTCTTTCTTACACCTTGTCATCCAGGAGCTGTTCACTTGTGGAGTTGTGCTGTGTAGGCCAGCAGGCCCAGGGATGTTCCCCGAAGTCCTCCTTGGCTGACTCCTCTTTCTAGACTACCCCCTTCCAGTCACCTCATATCTCCCCTCCCTCAACAGCCTCACCTCAAGGCTGTAAAAGACTGCACTGGAGTATACAGCTAGGGTTGCTGGCAGGCAGTGACCGTCACACTATATGAGAGTATGTTGGCCACTTGGCTATGTCTTGCAAGGGTTATCTCTTGGGGATCCTTGTGTCCCGCCGCCTTTTCCTTGTTGGCCTCTGCATTTCTGTCCTGTCCTCTGTGGTTCCTTGTTCCCTTCTCCAGCTGCTTAAGCAAGCTTACATTGCCTGCTGCTCACTGTGTGTGCAAGACCTGTGTTGCAGGCCTTGTTACTCTGACAGTTTCCTCCCAACCAGGTCCTCCCATACCCAGGCTGTCAGCCTGAAGAATCTGTTCCCTGGGCTAGACCTAGTAGTCATAGTTCATAGAAAGTCTGAAGCAGCCAGAGCAGCAGGTTTTTGGGTAGTTCATGACTTGGTGGAAGTTTCTTGAATTAATTTCAAGTTTTGAAGCTTCGGCTGAAGGGAGCATTTGTCTCTCTTTTCTTAGACTAGGCTGTCTTAAGGAAAGAGGTGGCCAGCTGCCTGAAGGAAGCCACTTTGATATCCTTGTGTGATACTGTTTGCAAGTTTGTACTCTTTCATGGGCTCTGCTCATCACCAGGTGCTGGTCATGGGAAGAGAAGGTGACAGATGATACATTGTGTCCCTATTTATACTCTTTTTTTTAAAAAATATTTATTTATTATGTATACAATATTCTGTCTGTGTATATGTCTGCAAGCCAGAAGAGGGCACCAAATCTCATTACAGATGGTTGTGAGCCACCATGTGGTTGCCGCGAATTGAACTCAGGACCTTTGGAAGAGCAGGCAATGCTCTTAACCACTGAGCCATCTCTCCAGCCCCCTATTTATGCTCTTTAAATAAACATTTGTCACCTAAGTAGAAACGGTCCCCTGGGTGTTTGAGCTTCATCTCCCTACCAGTATAGAGACCCTGCTGGGGTGAGGTGCAAGGCCTCCCTAACAGTCTAAGATCCGAGACTGAGAGAAGAGCTTGTTCTCTGTCAGTCACAAGCACCAACTCCCGAGAAAAGAAAAAGATACCAGGAAGAGGCCTGGCATTATAAACGTCTACGGGAATAAAGGTAATAGTGGTTCATAAGTAAAGTCGAATCTGAAACTGGACAGAGCTGCAAGGAAATGGAAATAACCAAGGGTTCGTAATGGGAAAGATGAGGGAAGAAATGCATGGCCTTGGTACCTCGGTTTCAGGAAGCAGTTTGCACAGGCATGCATCTGCTACACGCTCTCCTTGTGTCCGCTCTCAATCGTGTGTGGCTGACTCTGGAACAGAGCTGCTTCTGGAATCTGCACTTCGAAGCCTTCTGCTCTTGCTCTCTCTCCCACTTCCTGTCTGCTCTGCTCCGCGTCAGCTTGCTCGCACCTTTTCCCTCGCTGTGCCCGCCTCGCTCTGCTCCGTCAGCTCCGTCTCGCTCCCTCCTTTTCTTTCCCTCACTCTTGGCTCTCCTCTTCTCTCAGTACTGGTGGTTCCTCAAGGCAAACTCTCCTCCCCTAATGACACCCCACGGTGTGGTCTCTCCCCGAGGATAGAAAAGCCTTTTAGGAAATCCAGTGCGCTAAGTTCTCCCAAGGTAAGCACCTTTACAGGGCCGAAATGAGTACTTTATGTTTCCTTGTGTGTGTGCGCGTCTGTCACCTGTAGCCACCAAGAGTATCCAGAGAGAGGGGGCCCAGAGACGTTCTGTGCTGTAATAAACCATTGTGACATTTGGATTTTTTTTTCCTTATGAAACTTCGGATTTTTTTTTCTCCCTGACCAAAATAGTAGCGTTCCTTCCCTCAAAGAAAGAGCTTGTCTCCTAGTCAGCCTTCATTGTAGTGGTGTTCCTCAGTGAACCCCCTCCCCCCACAAGAGCAAGACCCTTACTCGTTCTAATGATAAAGGTTTGCTTTAAATGTTCATTTTTTTGTGTCATCGTCCCTCCCCCCCCCCCCCCCGAGTATGTGACTGTGAGCATATGGGTGTGTAGGCTCACACACAGGTGCCAGAGCAGGACATCAGGTGTCTTCCTCCTTTGCTGTCTCACCGAACCAAAGCTTATCAGCCATTGGGCTGGATGACCAGGAAGCTCCACCCCAATGCTGGGATTACAGGAAGTGGAAGCAGTATTTAACTTTGTATGTGGATACTGGGAACTTATCCCACATTTGTATGTGTGAAAAAGCTTTTCCTGGGGCGGTGCAGCACATGCGTATCCACTCACACCACATAGGGAACCTGTGACACAGACCAGAGCACAGAGAACACCACCAAAGTCCAGCTTTGTGAACCAATGATTGCTACTTGCAGGAGTATTAGTAAGGGGTTACTTCCAGGAGCAGACAGCTACGTCACCAGAGCCCACCCCAGCATGGGTGACAGCTCACAAAGCTAGGAACCTGAAGCCCACTGCACAGCCTGCAGGCAGCTCAGCAGGTTTGGCTGTGTCCTTTACAGATGACTCCTAGTCTAAACCTCTGCCTCTTCCACACAGCTGATTTGATCTCAGGGTTTTCTTTGCAGCTTGGCTCTGCTGGCTGAGGCAGGGAGGGGGCCTAGTGGATCAGACACGTTCAGTTTCAGGCACTTTGATAGCTCTTTGATAGAATGTTTCAGTTCTGGAGGAAACTGTTACACAGCAGACTTTGAAATCGGGTCCTCAGGTTTTCAGAGTGACTACCCTTACCCGCTGAGCATTCTCTCTATGCCCCGCTTCTTCTGTCTGTGGCAGTGGGATTTTAATTCAGGACCCCACAAAGAAGTAGTCTACCAGTGAACCACTCTTAAGCCAGTAAAAGGTTTTAGGTTAGGATCCTGCCACAGGTGTCTCAGCAGGGCCACTGCAGGTGCTTCGAGGGTGGGGCAGCATCTTCAAGCAGAGTAGCTGGATTCAATCCACAGCCAAGATTGTTTCCATCCGATTCTCTGTCTTAGAATTTCTTTTTGTTGTTTCTAAGGTTTTGTCTTCTTTTGCGGAGACCACTCTGTCTTGAGAAATTCTTGCTAGTTACTTTTAAGTTTTTGACACCCATGGGGGATGTTGGCATTTGTTTTCTTTGCAGAAAATGGTTTCCTCTAAATACGTAACACATTGTCAAAAAATAGGTTAGAAGGGGCATTGCTGTGGGCTCTCACCCCTCTGCTTCCATCTGAGTGAGCAAAGATAGCTGCCTGTCAGACTTTTTTTTTTGATGAGTGTTGCCGTGGCTACACCTGCTGCCTGTGCCCTTGTGAGACTTAGTGGCTCAGGAGTCTCTGCCCTCACTCTTGAGAGATGCCTAGGACTTACCTCTGCATTCTACTCCTGAGCTGTTAACATGGCTGGAATTTAAAAGGCTAATAGGATTCAGCCAAGACATGACCGATGGCATGGAAAATCTCTAGTCTTAGTCTTCCCAGAATTCCCTGCATCTAATTGGTGAGTGCTCCACACCTAGTGTGAGTATGCCCTTTCAGGAGTCACCAGCCCCAACAAGAGCATCCAAACCAGTTAAGATGAGGACTTTGCATCACACCTCCATTTGAATCTGAAAGACTGGGAAGCCAGTCTTTCTAGGTAATTGGTTGTCTATGGCCAACTGGCTACATCCTGGTTACTATAGGAACACAGTGGGTGCCTATGGACAGCCTGACCTCCCATCACCTGTCTCAGGACTGAGTGGTTTGAGTCAGGAGTTCCTCTATTGCCTTGTCTCTTTCTTGTCCCTCCTGGACTCATCTTCATCTTTGAAACCTTTCTCAGGAAGCCTTCTTGGACCAGCCACTCTGTCCACCCCAACACACAAGCACTCACTGCCTGAGCTGCTGGGGACCTGCCTTTTAAAATGGCACCTCTCGCTCAGCCTTGGATCCGATTGGTTTGTAGCTCTGAGGGCAAGGTTCCTCTTTGCTCTCTTGGCTTCTCCAGCACCCAGCAGAGATTAGACTTCACAGAGAAGGGATGTAGCTCCTAGATAGCGTCTCCCGTCACAGCCGTGACAGGAGCTTGTCACACATACATGCTGCTTTATAAGGAAACACATTTGAGCCCTGGTTAACCTGTTCTGTTGATGAGATCCTTTGAAAATCGACTCAGGAAAGAGTTGGCGTGATGTAGAAAGAAGACTTGGCTGTTTATTGAAGGGCATCTCCTCCAGCTCGCTGTTCCACCTGGAGCATAAACCTACACTCCCTTCAAAAAGCCCTTTGTGAAGTGTCTCCTGGTTTTTAATTCTTGGTACCAGTGATGGCCAGGCTTCCTTTCCTCGCCCCAGCCCATCTTCCTGTTTTGAGACGGTCTCAGAAACTATCCTTTCAGAGCTGTACTAGGAGATTTTACTTCTTAAATGAATTTCTGATTATTTCTTGGCTATTTAGCATCCCCTCCCAGTTCCTTTTTTTCTGCTTCTTGTCCACTTCTCAGAACAAGGACTGCATTTGGATGCCCTGTTGACTTTGCCTAATAACAGCCCAATTTTGCAATTTTTACTATGTCAGCAGGAGATTTGCCCAAGTACTGCAGAACCTAACCCTGTGTTTATTCTAGGTTATAGAGTGGCTTTTGAATCCGTACTTATTTATTCTACAGACTATAATCACACACAGGAATTTCTTTCTGCTTAACTCTCCTTGACCTTGGCTGTTGCTCCCGCAAGCTGCTCCCGAGGCTATTTGGAACGTGCCTATTAAACCTCAGGGGACATGTGTGAAATTTTATTTCATGTTTTAAAGGTGACACGTTGCTAGACTTGATCTACTTTATATACAGATTATTAATCAGGGTTGTGGAAACTCTTAGAAACGTTCTAGAAGGAAAATACTTCTTTTTGTTTTGAGGTAAAATTTCTCAAGTCTTTTCTTTGCCTGGCTTTGTAGATGTGATCTGGTTAGGTTAGTAAGTCGGTAATGGTTTCACTCCAGCCTGTATAAATTCTGGGTTTCTTCCGTTTCAGTTACACACAGCGTCTCAGTGGTGGGGAGAGAAGAGGGAGACCCTGCACTGCCTGGTAGCTCTGCTTCTCTAGGTAGCAGCAGGTTGTTGAGATTAATATCCAGAACGTTTTTATGTGGGGTCCTGGGGAGATGGCCCAGTGGTTAAGAGCCCTGTCTGCTCTTCAGAGGGCCCAAGTTCTCCTCCCAGCACCCACGTATCAGCTCACAGTTGTTTGTAACTCCAGCCCGAGGGATCTGACTCCCTTTTCTGGCATTTGTGAGCACTGCATGCACATGGTACACGTTTGCTTATGAAGCACCGTGCTAACTGGGAGGTGTATTGATGACTTCAGTTGCGTTTCTGCTCCAGGCTGCCGTGGTGGTGGTGTTCAATTTCGCCATGGTGCTGCTCATTTTCCCAGCAATTCTCAGCATGGATTTATATAGACGAGAGGACAGGAGATTGGATATTTTCTGCTGTTTTACCAGGTATGTATGTTTTCAGGGTCCTGGGGCCTTTACTGGGCATAGAAAGACTGTTTAGAGTCTAAAGGGAATGTAGCTAACAGTGTTTGGGTTGGTGAGATGGGAGCAGGAAAGGGCAGACAGAGGACTCTTCAGCACGTGTGAGCTGCCACACTTTCCTCCTCCCCAAACTGAATATGCCCAGAAACCTTAGAGATTCTGCTGCTGGTGGTCTTTTCTTCCACTGTGAACCTGGGTTTGTTTGGAACTGTTTGGTAGCTCTGTGGAGCATTGTAGAAACACAGGGTGGTAGATTTTGTTTTTAGTTTTTTTTTTTTTTTTTAGATCTTTGGAGTTCTGCTTTGAAGGGGGTTATCACTATTTCAGGGTCAACTATGCCTTTTGTCTTGGACCGGATTACATCTGTGTCCAAAGGAGTCAGGTGATGCTTTCAGAGAAACAGATCAGTGGTGTCTGGCCAGCATCGGTGCTCAGCAGAAGTGAAAGCCCCTTTTCTCCCTCATGATCATACTACGGTGTGTTTCCTTCTTCTCTTTCAGCCCCTGTGTAAGCAGGGTGATTCAGGTTGAACCACAGGCCTACACCGAGCCTCACAGCAACACCCGTTACAGCCCACCACCGCCCTACAGCAGCCATAGCTTTGCTCACGAGACCCACATCACCATGCAGTCCACTGTCCAGCTCCGCACAGAGTACGACCCTCACACCCACGTGTACTACACTACCGCCGAGCCCCGATCCGAGATCTCCGTGCAGCCTGTCACCGTCACCCAGGACACCCTCAGCTGTCAGAGCCCAGAGAGCACCAGCTCCACCCGGGACCTGCTTTCCCAGTTCTCAGACTCCAGCCTTCACTGCCTCGAGCCCCCCTGCACCAAGTGGACACTGTCTTCGTTTGCTGAGAAGCACTACGCTCCTTTCCTCTTGAAACCCAAAGCCAAGGTAACCTTCCACCGTGTGTGGCCTCCTGCCTGGAAGAGAAATATGTGAACTGTTGGCACCTTTGGGATCCATCATCATCATGTTCGTGTATGCTCAGGACAGGCCCGCCAGCGTCAGATTGCAAACCTCAGGGCTCCTCTAATGAGCCAACTCCCACATGGGGAGGCTCCATGAAACAGATAGTGCTATGAGTATAAATGTGTCCCTTGCTTTATATATATTTTCATTCTTTGTGAGATTACTTAAAAAGGTGATTTAGTGTGGTTTGTTTTCTCCTCTGGGAGACTGGGCTGTTTATGTGGAGTGAAGGAAGCAGTTGGTGCTGGTATTGGAGGAATCAGGAATGTGTTTCTGGATCTCATCCAGTGCCCTTCCCTCTGTTGCAGGTGGTGGTGATCCTCCTCTTCCTGGGCTTGCTGGGGGTCAGCCTTTATGGGACCACCCGAGTGAGAGACGGGCTGGACCTCACGGACATTGTCCCTCGGGAAACCAGAGAATATGACTTTATAGCTGCGCAGTTCAAATACTTTTCTTTCTACAACATGTACATAGTCACCCAGAAAGCAGACTACCCCAACATCCAGCACCTACTTTACGACCTTCATAAGAGTTTCAGCAATGTGAAGTATGTCATGCTGGAGGAGAACAAGCAACTTCCCCAAATGTGGCTGCACTACTTCAGAGACTGGCTCCAAGGTAGGCTTACGGCAGGCCACCATCCTTCACCTGCCGCGCCCCAGGCTCCCAGACAGTAATTCCCTTCTGTCCACCACATGAAAGTATTCCATCGTAATGGAGAAGCTTTATCTTACATGTGTGTGTGTTGCATGCATGTGTGTGCATCATGTGTGTATCTGGTCCCTGAGGCCAGAAGAGGGCATTGGGACTGGAGGTGTGGGTGCTGGGAACCGAGCCCAGGTCCTCTGCAAGAGTAACAAATGCTCTTAGTTGCTGAGGGCCTGTCCAGCCTGTTTTGTAGAAAGCCCCCTTCAGTGGCAGTCTCCCAGCTCTGGCTTTAACAACTTACAACTATGTGAGTAAGAGCCCTTCTGTTGACACTTTTGTGAACACACACTGGAGAAAGACAAAACAGGGAGCCTGGAGGTCTATTGCTCCTGTTCCTTTTGGATGGTGGCTACTTCGGTGACCAAGTGAAACTGGAGTCTTTGGTGGGATTTCTGAGCTGTCTGTCTGTTAAATTACAGCCTACTGTAACAGTGGGTTGGGGCAGCTATTGCATATTTTGGACATCATCTTTTAATTTGTATTCATTTACTTTGGGTCCCTAGCGAATCAGAGTGGAAGGTGTAAAGATCGCTCACTCCCACCAGGACTTCCCTGTGTCAGCGTCTGACACTGAAGTGGTTGTGTGTTTCACACTGACCTCTGACACTGCTGTCTTCCAAAGAGCTCAGTACCAACCATCCTTCTATTTGGCGGTGAACTTAGAAATGCTTACCCACATCCTGCTGTTTCATGGAGAGGCAAATCCTGCTTCTTCCTCCTCCCTCCCTCCGTTTTACCTATAGATTGTGTGTGAGTGTGTCCGTGTGCATACACCATAGTGTGCTTATTGAGGTCAGAAGACGGCTGTCCTCTTCCCACTATGTGGGGCCTGGGGATCGAACTCAGAACAAGCGCCTTTAACCCTCTCAGGCACATCTCTAGGAAGTACTGTTAGTAGGCTGGAGAGAAGCGTAAGACGGACTGAATTTGCTCTTAACTGCTGACTGGTTCCCAGAACATCTGTTAATGTTGACATGGGCAGGGCGCAGTAGACAATCAGGACCATTATCCACACAATCCAAGCAAAAGTGCTTTTATTGGAGCACCCAAATAATTGCACCTCCAGCATTTGTTGGCTTAGATTATCCCAGTGGCTGTCTTAATTTCCCACTTAATTAGGCTTATTTAAACACATATTTAAGTGCCCTTTTTGTCTTAAGTCAGTACTCTTGCATGTAAAGATCAGGCAGCCAGTTTCCCCTATAAGTCTGCATTAGGTGATAAACAGCTTGATCCGACAGGAATCGGTGTTGAGCAGTGACTAGAATTTGCTCGTACACACGTGCCAGGTCCCACTTCGGGGGAAGGTGGAGAAAGCATCAGGAAGCCCTGGAGATGACTTGAATTCGCCCCAAGTTTTATTTCCTTACACTCGGTTCTCCATGCGTTATTTTTTTTTTAAGTAGTGAATTAACAAAGAGCCAAACAGTTGCCAGAGTCTCTGCTTTTCACCCCCCCCCCACACACACACACGTACACATTGACCAAAGACATGCAAATAACTTGCCACAAATGACAAAGAGGTCTGCTGTGCTGGGTAGAGGAGCGTGTTGCAGAAGGAGCTCTCCAGTGTCTTCAGCCAGGGACTCCCCTTTGAGGTAGGCTGGGGCTGGGAAGGGTGTCTTAGACAGTATTAAAGACCGACTCTAGTAAGACCCAAAACATTCGTATGCATAGATATCTGTAACTTGAACTACAGTTTGGTTACTGAGCAAGCAGCACCCAGCCACACTGATACGTGTCAGAATCCCACAACCCTGCTGGAGCTGTCATGCCTCAGTGGGTCCTTCAGGGCCCAGAGCGCTGCTCACAGACAGGAGGGCTCTTGGCTGCTGAGGCGTTTTTTTCAGACCTGCTGAGTGTTTGCTCAGGTCCCTGAATATTTCCTTGGGGGAAACAGCTATTCTCACAGCGACGTTTCTTCCAGAGACTTGTATGTCATGTTGAAGTCCATTCAACTGTACCGTCTCACTGGCCTTGGTCAACACTCCAATAGGTACTCTATTTTCACTCCTAGAAAAATATTTAATGGCTTATATAGGAATTATCTCATGCCATTTTGAAAGTCAGTTCTGAGGTAGAACCAGGGCAGCACTCTCCCTTTGAGGTCTATCTCCAGCCCATAGGACAACCGTGAACATCCACATAAGGAGGTGAATGAAGTTAGAGTTGAAATCTGTGCACCATGTGCAGGTGGCATTTTTAATTCACACTGAATTACTTGGACAAAGTAGATGATCCTTTCAGTTCTAGGGGCTTGTATGTTTGGGTAATTCCTGTAGCCCAGACTGTCAAATGTTTCTAGTAAGAACTGCAGCTGAAATAAATACAAGGTTCTGCTGTAAACTGTTGGAATGTAAATGTCAGCCAAGGGGCACGTGTGTGGTGTCCAGCTCATGGTAGTTGAGATTTTCAGTGGTTAGTCAAAAATACTGAACTAGTTGTGAAAGAACTCAGCTATTCGTGAAGTCAGTAACTGTAGACTGCACTGGGGCCAGCATTGCAGGAAGCATGTTCTGCCTTGGCTGCAGGATCCCTAGATAGTGCAGAAGTCTCTCTGTGTGAACAGCACGCTGCTCTCAGTGTGGGTTTCCATACATGTGGATGCTGGCTCTGCGCTGCCTGGGCTCAAAGCTTAGCTCTAACCCTTTAACCTTTGCAGGCCTCAGTCCTCTCATCTCTAGGGTGGGGATGGTGATGCTAATTGGCTCCTCAGGAGATGAGCTCTAGAACTGAATGCTAAGGAAGGTGGACACCTGGAGTAGCCCTTGATAGCCCTTGAGCACTGAGCCCTGCAAGTCTGGAGTTATAAAAGCTCTCCTCTCTCCTAGCTTGGCAAACAGTGCAGGCCCCTCATAGGGGGTTGGGGAGTGGTTGGTTCTCCCTCTCTGTTTATTTTTTTTCCAGGATGGGGGTGGGGAAGGACTTTGGTTCATAAAATAACATCTGCTCACTGCTGCCTGTGCAAACCTTACTGTGAAAAAGTCTGTCTGAGACTGGAGATTTCCACGCTGGTGGTCCCTCTGTCTGCCTGCCCCTACCCCTGAAGTACGGGGCCCACGGGTGACCCAGCCTACATCCTGGAGACAATGCCCACATCATAATAGTGTTGGAGGGGAGCTTTTGTTTTATGGGCAGCCCTACTTCCTCCCGCTCCCCAACCCCAAACGCCTCACCATGCTAAGCATTCACAGAGCATATATTTTTGTTGTTTAGTTTGTGTTTTGTCTTTGAAGTCCCCCTAGTCCTGTCCTGAAATGAAGTAAAACACATCTCTCTAAGCAGATGTATCTGATACAGCAGGCACAGACAGGGCTCTTCTGAGCACCTGGGACTTAGGGGGTCTACTGGGGAGGGGGCTGGTGGGGGTGTTGGGGAGAGAGCCCTCCAGGCAGTGCTTAGACCCTAAGGCTGGGTCACCAGGGCCCTGTTTTCTAGTCCAACACGCTTATCTCTTTACAGCTGTAGCCAAAGTGTCAGGTCTGTAATGATGGTTTTGATTACAGAGGCCAAGCCCAGCTGTGTGTGGTGAGCTGGTGGGCTCCCCATCCCCCAAGCCCAGAAAGCTCTTTTCCTCCCCTCCCAGGGCTTGCGGTTTGTCATCTGTTCTCATAGAGCCTCCTTGTATTGGCCTGTGGCTTCCTGTTCTCAAACAGATCCAAATTCGCCCTGAGGTATTTCCCCGTGTTCCTTCTCCCCCCCACATATCCCTCCCCGCGGAAGGGTGGCAGAGAGGAAGAGAACAGGAGGAGAATGAATAGGTGTTGGCTGTGATCTTTACACAACCTGGCAGCGGAACCCACAGCTTGTATTAGCTACACAAGTCAAACAGATGGATCAGATTGACAGAGCTGTGTTTGCTCGCCCAGGCTCCAGGGGCAGCCAAGCTGCTGTTGGAGGTTGGGAGCTCGAATGGTAGAACTTCTGGTCCTGTTGGGGAACCCCTGACGCAGCTCCCTGTGTGGCATGCAATGGGTAGTGGATGTAGTGTGTGTCTTTCTCTTCTCCCTTGCTGCTTGATGGAATAGTCATGAAGTTAAAAGGAAAAAAAAAAAGAGTTGAGCTATAGCCATGGTGGAGCTCACCTTTCATGCCAGCACTTGGGAGGCAGAGGCAGGTGGATTTCTGTTAGTTCCAGGCCAGCCTCATCTATATAGTGAGGTTGAGGTGTAGGCCAAGGCAGGCAAGGATGGATACACAGTGAGACCTTGTCTGAAAAAAAGGGGATCTATCTTTCTTTCCTTCCTTCCTTCCTTCCTTCCTTCCTTCCTTCCTTCCTTCCTTCCTTCCTTCCTTCCTTCCTTTCTTAAAACAGGGTTACTTTATGTAGCTCTGGCTGTCCTGGATCTCAGCTATGTAGACCAGGCTGGCCTTCAACTCACAAAGATCCGCCATCTACGCTTCCTGAAATTAAAGGCTTGTGCCACCATTCCACCTCCCCTTTCTCTGTGTGTGTGTGTGTGTGTGTGTGTGTGTGTGTGTGTGTGCACGCATACATGCACAATAAAAGGCATTGCTGTTGGAGTTTCAGGCAGTTCTATTCCCTCCAAAGTGGGTTCTGGGATCTGAACTCGGATTCCCTAGAAGAGCAGCAAGGGCCCTGAGCCATCTATCCATCTCCTGGACTTTTGCTCCTCGGTTTGAGTAAACCGTGTGTTTTCTTGTCCCCCTAGCAGCGATTGGTTAGCATGGCAGTCCTTTCTTAAGTGAAAGAAAGCTGCAGATGGGGCCCCCGCCCTGCCCGCTGTCCTCAGCGTAATCCCTCAGAACCAGGCCCTCTTTCTTGGCCCAGGCTTTAATGTGTTGTACGCGTTTGCTGTTCACAGGACTTCAGGATGCCTTTGACAGTGACTGGGAAACTGGGAGGATCATGCCAAACAATTACAAAAATGGGTCGGACGATGGGGTCCTCGCCTACAAGCTCCTGGTGCAGACTGGCAGCCGAGACAAGCCCATCGACATCAGTCAGGTATCCTACTGTTCCACTGTGAACAACTTCTGGGCAGCTGACCTGCGGAAACTGGGCTGGCGGTGTGGGCTTCCCAGGTTGTCCCGTGAGGACCTGAAATGATAGGAGGTGGTAACTGTGTGACCCCAAGCTGGCCAGAAGGCTTCCCTTTCCCTTCTTGTCAAGAGAGGGGACGCCATAGCGATGATGGTGTTGACAGTGCAGGCTTTTCCCAGTGGCTCATCCTGTCATGGTCATCAGTATGGTGTATTCAGACAGGGGACAACAATGGATTTGTGGTTGGGTGGGTGGGCGGCTTAGGAGATCAGAGAGGTCACTTGGGCCCAAGAGTAGATGGTGAGTACAGGCAGCTTGCTGTGGCCTGAACATAGCAGACAGGTACGCAAACTGCCCACCTTGCTCACCCCTCAGGAGTGAAAGCTCTTCCCTTTGATAGTATTCTGTATCTGAAGCACCTGGACTCTAGCATATTTGGTTTCCTCAGGCATGTTCAGGGGTACGTTTGCACCCTGGATTTGGAGTGAGTTCTAGGCCTCTTTGTGGGTAGTAGTTTGCTTTCCCTGTCTTTGGACAGAAACCGTCGTGTTAATCATCTCGGCAGCTCTGTATACTATCTTTTCCCTTTTGCTGGCGCTAAAGGCGACAGATTTACAAAGTACATGGTTCAGTCATTGTGGAGTGTGAGGTTTGGTGCTTTATAGTGGCATGCAACAGGCTGTCAGGTCTGACAAGGGTATGGCAGACCAGCCTGCCTGACAGGATAGCAGAGACGTACTGAATTGGACTTAGGGATCAGGGAGTCTGTGGGATGCCTGTGGTGGGGCCAGGCACCAAGATACCATTTCCTCTCCCGGGAGAAAGAAGAGCATGCCGCGTGCACGGAGGCCAGGAGCTGTGCTATGTAATTCCAGAGACAGTCTGAGGACCTACAGTTGTTAGCGATCCCGTGGATTAATTGAATCCAGATCCCTGCCGTCTACGTCTCTCCCTCTCTTCCACGCTCTTTATTCCTCCACACTCTTTCTCTGTGAGCTGCTGTCACTGGTGATTTTCATTTTGTTAAAAAAGACCGAACGTTGGAAGGAGGCCTGGACCTAAAGTAAACAGGAAATTTTTTTTCGGTGTATCTACCATATTTATAATCCGCACTTCGTCTCATAGTGTCTTTGACTCGAGTAAAGCCCACAAGATCTACTGTGGGAGCAGATGTGGCCCTTGAATCTGACCAGGGCTCAGAAGTGAGATTATTCAGAGAGGCCCTGGCTTTGCATCATTGTCTTCCCCTCTCTGGCAGTGGGCATTTTTTGAATGTGCAGGTCATCGGAGGCTGTGTTAGCAAAATTTATACAGATGTTGTTTTATTTTATAGCCCCTGCATTTACTGGGTGGTATTTCCTTCAGTGTTAACAACAGAGGTTAACTACACACAGACGTGGATGGGGATGCTTGCCAGGTTCCCCCCCTCCCTGCCCCTCCTATAAATATGTTTTTCCAGATTGTTCATTACCCGCCTTGGCTGCAGCCAGTCTCTTTTAGCATTCAGATTTAATTGGTTCAGCCGATTCCTGGGCCATCTGCAGTACCGTGTGTTTGCTGTAAACACACTGGTGATTGCATCCCCCAATAAGTGCATTTTGAAAGACATCAAAGGTATTCTTGTGGGACTTGGGGCACTGTCAAGCCATGGGTATTCTGCTGTTTGTTGGAAAAGTGGGTACAGAGCTCTGGTCTCCCAGCAGGAGTGTGTTTTACCCCACAGCCCGCTCTGAATGACCTCTGTTCTTCCTGTTTTGTAGCTGACTAAACAGCGTCTGGTGGATGCAGACGGCATCATTAATCCCAGCGCTTTCTACATCTACCTGACGGCCTGGGTCAGCAACGACCCCGTGGCTTACGCCGCCTCCCAGGCCAACATCCGGCCTCACCGACCAGAGTGGGTCCACGACAAAGCCGACTACATGCCGGAGACCAGGCTGAGGAGTAAGTAGCCGTCTGTCCAGAGAGGCTGGGCTTTCTCAGAGGCTCCTTTCGCTGCTGCCTCGAGCTCAGCCACAGCCTCCTTCGCTGACACTACCCAGGGTTCAAAAGTGTAAATAGAACAATATATTTCTCTTAGTTTAAAACTCCGGGAGACAGATGAGGGTGTGTAATGGAATACAGCCCTGCACTCTCACATTGAGAAATAAGCGTTTCTAACCTCCTTTTGTAGCTCGAACGCCAGGCGTTTCCCCTGATGCCAGCTGTTCCATGTGAAAGTGGGGGACGCCTCCACGCTGAGTGTTATTTTACTATTGCCGAGTTTTATCGCTAGGGATTATATGTTTATCTTAACTTTGTCAACTCTGGTGTTGAAGGGATTTTTGGCATGTTGGGTCATTTCTATAAGCCACCAAGCACCTGTGCTCTGTCAGAGCTGTTTAAACTGGACAAGAAAAGTCTGTATACATCAGTGTTCTCCTCTTCCCTTCACCCCTAAGCCCGGGGTTTGAAAGGTGGCTCTGTGTGGATTTAGTCTGCATTTATGTTAGAGATGTTAGTAGCAGCGTAGGCTTTGGGTGTGGGGCCAAGAGAAGACATGAGAAAGAAGACGGGTCCCTTTGCAAACGGGGCAGGCAGCTCTCTGAACTCCCCTGTACTAACCCCCAGAGACTGGTGGCAAGCAGCCAAGGCCTGTCTTAATGAAAATTTATAGTTGAGATTATAATAGGGGCACATCATGTTTAGCAAGTCAACTGAATGACCCCAAAGGGTGTGGAACACACAGGGCAGTAACTAAATGCTTGTTGTGTGAGGATTTCTTCCCCTCTTGCTGAAGACTTAGCATTGCATTAGAAAAGCGGGAAAGGTTTAAGTCGCCAGGTCACTAAAGGACAAGAAGAGTCAAGTGTCTTTTTCTGCAAGGCATGACTCTGGGATTATTTGGGTCTTACAAATGGTCAGGGAGAGCAAGTTGGACGTGGAAACGAAAGGTCGACATTTAAGTCCTACTACGGCATTTAGAGTTCTCACAAATGGTAGCTGCTTCTGGAATAATAAAATCAGAGGCTTAAAAATATAGATTACAGGGCCTTCCACTGCCCATCCCATTCTTACCCCGTTGCTACCACCTGATAAAATCAAAGGGTTGGTTCTGGGCTCAGGACATGGCTCAGTGGGTATGAGCTTGCCACACAAGTGTGAGGGCTGGGTTTGAATCCCCAGAACCCACATGAAGCTGGGTGTGGTAGCGCATCTGTAATCCCAGTGCATAAGGCAAGATGAGACGGGGTGGGAAATGTGTCTGGGAGCTTCAGGGCCAGCCAGCCTGGAGTATGCACAGCAAGCAGCAAGAGACTTTTGACTGAGAAGGTAGAAGGAGAAGATTGACATCCAGGGTCGCTCTCTGACCTCCACACGTGTGCCTGAATGCACAACCATGCTCACACGCGAACACACACAGTGAGAACAAATGGATTGTTAGTGAGAAGTTTTAAACCGACTCTGAATGTTGCAAAGGCCCAGAATCATTGTTTGTCCGTTTTGTTGGAACATTGGGTAATGAATGCATTTTGGGGGGGTTCCCGTCTCTGTATTTCACATCCAGCATCTGTGGCGTTGGGGTGGCGGAGGCTCTTCACCCGGGAGCCCTCACTCACACCGCTTCTCCTTTGTCCAGTCCCAGCCGCGGAACCTATCGAGTACGTTCAGTTCCCTTTCTACCTCAATGGCCTACGAGACACCTCAGACTTCGTGGAAGCCATCGAAAAAGTGAGGATCATCTGTAAGAACTACACGAGCTTGGGGCTGTCCAGCTACCCCAACGGCTACCCCTTCCTGTTCTGGGAGCAGTACATTAGCCTGCGCCACTGGCTGCTGCTGGCCATCAGCGTGGTGCTGGCCTGCACGTTCCTAGTGTGCGCGGTCTTCCTGCTGAACCCCTGGACGGCTGGGATCATTGTGAGTTTACCATAAGGGTCTTTATAGAAGTCGGATTCCTTTTGGCATAGCTCTTTCTGCAGCCGGGAAGTTTTGTTTATGTCTGGGCCCTTGGAGGAGGAGGGTATAGATTGCATCATCTGTAAGATATTTATTCTACTTGAGGTGGTGAGGTTCATGGGGAAGGTAGAGCCCCTAATGGCCGGAATCTGTGTCCCCTCTCACACAGCATTAAAACGTCCTCTTGTAAGATAGGAGACTTTGTAAGCCCACTGCGTAAAGGCACTGAAATTTTATTAAAGAAAAATAACCAAAGCATAACAGTTTGCTAATTCTGAACTCTTATTTAGAGCCTCATCCCAGCCCTAACCATGTGTGGCTGTGTGTTACGAGGAAGCATGCACAGAGAAGTTAGGACAGTTGCAGGGGTGGGGGTGACACCTGGGCCCTTTGCACAATGAACACTGACTCCTGGGGGAATGGAACTGCCTGCCTCTCATTGCCAGTTTACCCTCAGATTTGAAGTGAGTGTCATGTAGAGACTGAAATCCTGGCATTGTTTAAAGTTCTGTGAACTGTGGTATAGCCTTTAAAATGCCAGAATTACAAAAACAGGTTTTGTTTCTGTGCTGAGTCTGGGCAACAGGTACATGAAAGGTAAATGTTTAGTCTGCAGAGGTCTTCGCAGCACTTAAGCCATGGACGGCATCCATCTTCCACTGTTCCTCCCAACCTCTGCCACCACCCACTGCCCTATCCCCAAGCGAGAAAGTTCATTTTCTCTCCTTCCTCCTTGTGGCGGAAGTGTGGGGGGAGGGAGGTTCACAAGAACCTCCTTGGCCCAAGAAACTCCAAAGTTCTGCACTCATTTTTAAAAGGAAGATGAAAGGCTCTGAAGCCTTCCCTTAAACCTGAGGGTCTGTGCTGTGACTCCTGGCCGCCCCCATCTCTTGAAAGCACAAAGGCCCCGTAACCTGACACGTGTCCCCAGTTTCTTCCTTTGGTCTCCAACCAAAGCACAGTTCCTTTACCTACAAAAACCTTTATCCACCCCATCCTATCCGCCTTCTCTAGGTTACAGACTATAACAATCAAAAATACTGCACTATGAACTCACTTTCTGGTGCTTACGGTTAAAGACTTGTTGTGAACCACAGTAGCCCTAGGTATTGGCTCTGGGAGCCCTGTGTGCCAGAGACTGCCGGGGCTCAGCTTGGGTCTATTAAAGCAGTACTATATTTGAGTCACCTACGTGCACCCCCTGTATTGTGTTACTGAGTTGTCTCTAGTAACTGTTGCTGATGAAATAATGATGGGTAAAGGCTGGACTCTCATGTTCTACTTCTTCATAGATGGCTCAGGGTGTGCTCCCTTCCTAGGATAGGAATATTAGAAAAATAATTTGCAAAGAGTATTAAACTGGTGGATAGGAAGATAGCTCGGTCAGGCTGGGTGTGGCGGTGTGTGACGAAGGAGGAGGCCTGACCAGCCTGGCTAGCCTGATAGTAAACTCCAGGTCTCAGTGAGAGACCCTGTCTTAGTGGAGGCTCCAGAGAACACCTCCCAGCTTTAGTTCTAGCTTCCATGTGTGTGCATGCACATACAAATACACACCATGCACAAACACACACACACACACACACACAACTTTGTCTTAAACCTTTTTTTAGCCTGGACAGTAAGTTGTCCTAACATCTCCTTTGCAGTAGGAAGTTGAAATATAAGACATGAAGTTGTCCAGAGGTAAAGGAAGTCAGTATTTTTCCATAGTATTTCAATGACAGGTACATTGTTGCTCCCATGTTGTGATTGTTGGTTTGCCCCTCCTAGTGTACCTGGTACCACCTTACTAATTGCTGTGTGCCTTTTTCAAGGTCATGGTCCTGGCTTTGATGACAGTTGAGCTCTTCGGCATGATGGGCCTCATTGGAATCAAGCTGAGCGCTGTGCCTGTGGTCATCCTGATTGCGTCTGTCGGCATCGGAGTGGAGTTCACCGTCCACGTGGCTTTGGTATGGGGCCTTCTTAACCTGGGCCTTCGTCTCCCGTATGTCAAGCACAGTTTTCCCTACAGAGTCCGAAATGTTTGAGGGTTCTTAGTCCCTTGGGGAGTCCTACCTAAGATACACAGGGAGTGAAAAGGACTGCACGCCACTGCAGTGTGTAAGGGCTGTACACATCGATACGGTTTTCTGACCAGTAGCACTCCTATCCCGGAGTTCTCACTGTTGTCCCGAGACAGTCTGTGTTTAGGTGAACATCCACACGGTTTTAAGTACAGTCATAAAGTGGAGATAAATACAACAAGACCACCCCCAGAGGCCTGGTGGGGATAGCGTAATTGAGGGTGAGGTGAGTTGGCTGCCGCAGAAATACCCTGGGGCCTGTGACTGAGCTCAGGTGCACAGCCCTGCAGAGCCTGCTCTTCCACCTCAGCCCACCCAGCTCTGTAGACCTCCCAGTTCTGATGCTTCCATGCAGCAGAACACAAGAACCAGGGACGCTTTCACTGGGGTCTTGGCCTTCTGTTTTTACACACTGCCTGTGTTGGAAGAAATTAACCTGAGAGAGAGGCTAGAATCCAATAGATGAGCCAGCTATCCACACTGATGAGAAAATTGGTTGAAAGCCTTGCAGCAAGCGGTGTGCAGTTTACGTTCTGACTACAGCTGTGCTCACATCTCGAGTACCTGGGGCTAATAGAGACATTCAGTAAATACGCATTGACCGGTATAGTGTTTGCAATGCCCCAGCTGGAAACTCAGCTCTCGGCCAGAACTAAGGGATGCTGGCTTTGCTTTTCCAGCATGTGCTTGGAGCTGAGCATGTGGTGTATGCCTTCTGCAGCCTCTCAGAGCTGTGATTGCACTCACAGGTTGTGGATTGGCTGTTCAGAAGGAATGTTTTGAAGCTATTAGTAAGATGATGATTTAGAGTCAGTATATTAGGTAGGTGTGTGTGCACGCGCGCGCACACACACACTTGCAGAGGCTGGAGGGTTACAAATACTCTTATTGAGGCAGAGTCCAGAGATCTATCTGCCGGGATTATAAGCCTGGACCACCATGCTTTGGGTTTTGTTCAAGATATGCATCATCACTAACTGTGGCTCAATATGAATGGGGCGTTGTCGTGAAACCAAGTACACATTCTAGCAGCTAAGCAGTAAAATCTTGAGCATATGTTTTAGAGAGAAAGGTAGAGGCAGCCTCCAATATTTCAGGCAGACCTGAGGCTGAGACTTTAGCTCAGTTGGTGGAGGACTTGCCTGGCTAGTAAAAGCTCCCAGCTACCTGTAACTCTAGCTCCATTGGATCTCATGTCCTCTTTCCTGTTTTCTGTGGGCACCGGGCAAGCACATGGTACACAGACATACACCCATATGCATAATACTTTTCTTTAGAAGACCTAATAAACAATGCTTTATTTCTTTAATATCATGACATTAAAAAAACAATCATCCTTTTGGCTTTATTGCTACATTTTTGATTTTTTTTTTTTAAACAATAGAATAGTTTCTTCGTAGTGTCTCCACCTACCTAACATGAACTTAAGAATTACTTCTGGGGTGGGGGGTTATAGCTGGGTTGGTAATATGCTTGCCTCACCTGCTGGAGGCGCCAGGCTCTATCCCCAGCACCCCATAAACCAGGCATAGTAGCACACACCTGTAAACCTAAGCACTCTACGTGGAGCCAGGGGGATTAAGCACAGGGTCGTTCTTGTGTAATAGTGAGTTTGAAACCAACCTGAGATACAAGAGAAGATGATAAAACCCAGGTGTAGACAGAGCTGAGCACTTCACCACGTGCATCCAGGAATGTGACCGTCTCCCTTCTTCCTTTGCTCAGGCCTTTCTGACAGCCATTGGTGACAAGAACCACAGGGCTATGCTTGCCCTGGAGCACATGTTCGCTCCTGTTCTGGACGGTGCTGTGTCCACTCTGCTGGGCGTATTGATGCTTGCAGGGTCCGAATTTGATTTCATTGTCAGGTAAGCAGAAGTGGAGTACAGAGCCTTTGTGTCTTATTCCTCTGTCCGGTCGGTGGCGCATCTCAGCCTGTCTGAGGCACACAGACGAGCTCTCTCAGAAGCTTTCTAGTCTCGCAGTATCTTGGAAAACGGAAGGGCAAAGGTTAGAGCAGAGGCAACCCCACAACCTGAAGCTAGAGTCACCTGGTATCCCAGGTGTTGAGGTTCCAGTTACATCTACAGAGAGATGACTGCGGGTTCTGATAATTAGCTATGTTCGGCTTTGGTCTTCTCTCCTTCAGAACTGTGGGAGGGGCTGGGGGTGTAGCTCAGTGGAGGGCTCGGCCTGCACGAAGCCTTGGGTTCTGTTCCCCACACCACGTAAAGCAGGTGTGGGAAGCTTAGCCCTGTAGCCCCAGTCCTTGGCTGTGTATTATTGAGTTTGAGGACAGACAGAGACGCATGAGACCCTGCCTTAAAATGTAGGAAGAAAACTTAGCATACCTCCAGTGTGGTCAGCTAGCTGTAAACTTTACACAGGCAATGAGTACAGTGTACCCAGATTGTGTGTTTGGGTCCCTTCTGAGTCTTCGTCAGTGCTGAACCTCTGACTTCAGGGACTCCAAACCTGGCCTGTGTACTCCTCTTGGATCACAAGGCAGGATTTTGCTACTTGGTATGGATGGGTAAGATGGTGACTTTTCCAAAGTATAAAAGACAGTGAGTTTTCATTTTGAAAAAGAGTCTTAAGATTGGAACTAGAAGGAAACTGTACTCTCTCAACAGTGCTGTTGACTTCACAAGGTGTCTGCTCCTAGGTAGAAAACCATGGTATGTTGCAAAGAGGCCAATCCAGCGTCCTCAGTATGTAAGATACTAGCGTGTCTTTAGAATAAGGCAGAGCCCAGAGACTGTATACAATGCGCCACACATCTGGAGAGATTACCTAATCAAGCTGTTCTTGGTAGCATTGTTTGGTTTTTCTTTTATTGGTACTCTTCAAAACAGAATTGCACTGTGCTTCACTCTGGGCTAAAACTTCTGTAGAGTTTGACTGCTCCTCAGACCATGCCTTAGGAAAAACACTACTGTGTGTTTAAGGCAGGAAAGAGTGAGGAAGACTAGAAAATGGTTTTTAAGGGGTTGGGGGTTGGGGGTTTTGTTTATGAAACAAGTCTCTTGTAGTTTAGGTTTGCTTCATACTTGTGATGTAGCAGAGAATAGCCTTGAACTGCTGATTGTCCTGCCTCAGCCCCCGAAGTGCTAGAAGTATTGGCGTGTGCCACCACATCTGGTTCTCATCAAGATTTACACTTACACAGGACAGCCAAGGAGGGAAGCTCACCTTTCCAAACGAAAAGAGGGCTTTTAGCTAGAAGTTGTAGCTGAAGATTAATACAAAACAAGCATTAGCTACATTGGGGGTGTAGCTCAGTGATACAGCAAGTACCTGGCTAAGGTGCATGGGGCGAGCCAGTTCAATCCCCACCACCAGAGGAGGAAAAAGAAAGGATCAGTCTTGAGGCATAGCCCACTGGGCAGCCAAGCTTCCAGAGTATCCATCTTTCTGGATGAGGACATGGTTGGCTCACTGTTTGGGGGTAGAGTAAGCTGAGATTGGCTCATTTCAGTGTAGACCAGCATTCTCTGTGAGACGCTTCCTGATCATCTGGGGCTGTTAGTGCAGACTGACAGGGGCCTTTCCAGACAGCTCTCAGGTGAGCCGGAGCATGTGAGTTTTCACACAGCCTACTGACAGGTTAGCAAATTGGTCAGTAGAGTCTCCTTTGCCAAACACTGGTGAGGTAGCTGGCTTGATTTAGATCTTGATTTGGGTTTGCCTTGTTTTAAATGGTTGGTTTGGCATTTCTCTGCATGCCCTTACACAGGTTCTAGCTTTGTCTTTCTGGTACAAAGCTTTGGCATGGACTCTGGGCTCTTCCAACACAAAGGTGATACCAGCCTCTTGAGTGCCATTTTTTTGTGACTACTGGCAAGTAGCACATAACCTTCTTGGTTGTGTGGTGTATACTCTGCTGGGATTGGGAGAATCAAGTCTCGACAGGCAGTTCAAAGCCAAGAGAAATAAATGGAGGGAGGGTGTGCTGGAACCTTGCAGGTTAGCCGAGAAGCCAGCGCCCAGCTCTACAATGGACACAACAAAGCAGAGCCCATTTCCTCGCTGTCCTCGCTGGGGCTGTGCTCCTCCCCTCCCAGAGATATCAGGGTTCCTGTTTCAAGCACTTAGAAGGGCTTCCCATTTTCTAAAACAGGGCGGATAAAGTCCTCACCGGAGTTGAATAGATGAGCAGACACTGTATACATGAAGCCGTCAGGAATCTAATTGGTCTGTTTATGCTGCAGCTAGATGGATGGGATGCAAATGTCTTAATGCCTGCCGCTGATATATGCCTCCGCTGAAAGTCCCACAGTTTACGTTAGAGCAAGACGTTGGCGGCTTGGGTTTTTACTAATGCAACTCAGCGGGTTTTAGTGTTTACAATAGCTGTGAGGTATTTGTATTTTTATAGGGATTCTCTCTCCTTTCATCTGATGTCAGAACATACATAGACATTGGCATTGCAGGGTGGCTGTTCAGTTTTATGGTCCGGGGCACCATTTACAGATAGATATTTGGCCCTCCCTCTTTCTTTCCAGAACATCCTAACCCCACCCCACCCCCCCAGCCCAGTTCCATCAAAGCCCTAGAAATCATTAGTTCCAGAGAAGCATCCTTGCGTGGAGCGTGCGCCCTCCAGCTGTGCAGAGTGCTGGCCAGAGGCGGTCCCTGGCTGACAGGTTTACCTTGGGTATTCTTGAAGGATCCCAGACCTTTAGCCCTCAATGGTGGGAACGCAGAACTCGCTCTCCACTCTCCCTCTTCTGCCGTGGTGCTTCAGCCTTTCTGTTTGAATTGGCTGACGCAAAACAAGAGTATTCAGAGATGCTAAAGTGTTCAACAAAAGATTGGCCCGCAGAGCAGCCTGCCATTGTGGAGTGCCCTCGCCCCGCACAATGCCCCGGCTCCCACAGAATGGGCAGCGTTTTCTTTGCAGAGCTGGTTCCTGTGTTCTAAAAAAAGGTTGCAATCGGAGCTATTTGGTAAAACTGGAACCCAGAGAATTCTAGGCAGAAAGTTGTGATTAATGAAAGCCCAGGGAAACCCTTACCTGATGCGCCGGAGACTTAATTAGAGATTCTGCCTTAAGAGGCAGGGGCATTTCACAGTGGATTAGCTGCCTGCAGAAGCGGGCTGCTTTTCCTCCTGGGCCAAATTGTTTAAATTCTACACCCTTCACTTCATTTGTTTAAATTCTACACCCTTCACTTCATTTGTTTGCTTCTGCTGGGTTTTCGTGAGCGGGGCCCCTCGGCATTGTCTCTGTGCTTTCAGGATGTTCAGCCATTCATTTCACATTCCATATTTCTGTGTTGGTGGAACACGTTCATAAATAACATTACAGGCATGAGATTTCAGCAAATTAACAAACTAATTTTTTTTTTCCTTTCATGAACTTACACTCTAGTATGTGGACCGTCCTCCTCGGACTCGTAGGGTTAAAAAAGAACAAAACCCCACGCTAATCTTGTGTTAGAGTTTGAACTGCAGTTTTGTGGCTGACTTTTCAGAGCAGTGGGATTGTTGAGCCTGAGCCCTTGGTGCAGAGTAACATTTGGGTGCCTGGAGGGCAGAACGCGCTTGCTTTTCACGCTGACGGTCCCACTTCCCTTTTGTTTTCCAGATACTTCTTTGCTGTCCTGGCGATCCTCACCGTCTTGGGGGTTCTCAATGGACTGGTTTTGCTGCCTGTCCTCCTGTCCTTCTTTGGACCCTGTCCTGAGGTCAGTGATTACCAGGGTGAGGCATTCATCCCGCAAGCCACCTCCTTTCCCCAGTCCCCATTTAGATATTTAGGTTCTGCTGATGGCGTGACCTCTTTAGTAAATATTGAGCAACAGTGGCTGTTTTACTGTTCCGCTTGATAGCTCAGGCTGGGGGTTCGGGAGCAAACTTTGCTTTAGGTCAGCGGATGGGCAGCTTTAGTCTTGGGGATATGTAAAGGAAGGTTTTCTACTTCAGATAAGTGTGTGGGCTTAACAGGCGTAAAAGGCATCCATCCTGCCTCTCTGGCACTGTTTTTATGCCAGTATCTTGAAGGTCTGCCGGATGGCAGGGAGAGGGGAGAAGATGCAGGATGATGTGTGGGTTCTTCTGTCAGGTGACAGAGGATAATGAACTTTTAAGATAGGCCAACAGATAAACGAAATGTAACACTTTTAATTGGGAATCTCCGTAAACAGGTGTCTCCAGCCAATGGCCTGAACCGGCTGCCCACTCCTTCGCCTGAGCCACCCCCGAGTGTTGTGCGGTTTGCAGTGCCTCCCGGTCACATGAACAATGGGTCTGATTCTTCTGACTCGGAGTACAGCTCGCAGACCACTGTGTCTGGCATCAGCGAGGAGCTCAGGCACTATGAGGCACAGCAGGGTTCCGGAGGTCCTGCCCACCAAGTGATTGTGGAAGCCACAGAGAACCCCGTCTTTGCCCGGTCCACTGTGAGTCACCTGGGGTACTGGGAAGGATTCCTCTTTCCTCTGGCAGTGGGCCAGGAGGTCCAGGGGAGGTCCAGGGAGATCTGAGCAGCAGATCTCGCAGACGGATGGGTGCAGGAGAAAAGTGTATACACCAGGTCAGATCACAGGAAGCTGCCAGCATGCCATTCTTTGTGAACTATGGCTGAAGCGGCAGTGTCCACATTGTTGCAGGGAGGCATAGCTTGCCTAGAGTAAATACTCAAAGCCCTGGGGCTCATCCCCAGCCCCACCCTTAGTCAGCGTGGACTCAGCTGCAGCCCGTTACCCCTTTTCCCCTTTCTGTCCTTCTACCCCACCTACCATTTCAGAATATGAGGAAATGGAATAAAAGTATTGTACTGCCATGAGAAGCTTTTTTTTTCTTCTCATCTCTATTACCTTTAATTGGCCTTGGTACAAAATTATTTTAATTATTATCTAAGGCTTTCCCATAGCTTTGTGGCTTCAAGCTCTGACTGTTGTAGATGCCTGGAGATCTGTTGACGCTCAGAAGCATTCTGAGTTCTTCCCTTAATTCCAGAGGGCAGTGAGGAGTCGACAGGCTCCTTCCTTATCCACCCTAGCCCCCCCCCCCCCAGCACACATTGATTTCCCCACGCCCCCCCCGCCCCCCCCCCCCCCCCCCCCCCCCCCCCCCCCCCCCCCCCTACTCCCCCCCCCCCCCCCCCCCCCCCCGCCCTCATGACGATGCCCTGCTGAGCTGCAGTGTGAATCTGGTTTTGGTCAGCGGGAGCCTAAAAATAGGTACAAGCTCAATGACTTTGAAGTTGGTCACGGTCCTTTTGATTGATGTGGCCACTGTGTTGCTCGGGCTTTGTACAGAGACCCAGAAACCAGATTCCTAATGGCCAGGCAGAGACAAATGCGTCTAACAGAACTATCAGTGATGGCAGAAGTTTGCATTCTGTTCTTCAGTATGTTAGCTCCTGGCCACACCTGGCTTGGGTCTGGGGGGCGGGTCAGGTGAAGCAAGGCTAATATATGACCCAGACACTGGAACCTTTAAGTCTCTTAAAGCTACTGTATATGATTGCTTATGTACCAATACTCCACCCTGCCTCTTGGCCATACAGGGCCAGACACTTAGCAGTATTTTTGTGGAACAGAACCCAGGGTCTGGAGAGACTGGTCAGTTGGGTAGCTGGTTTGTGGATGTTCCTGAAGCTGTGGGCAGCAGCTATATGCCTCCAGGCAGCTGTGCTGGAGCAGGCAGGATCCACACCCTGGATGTTACTAAAGGAGTGGGTTTTCCTCTGTGGGTGGAAGGACATCACTTTGCCTCCCTGTGCTCACCTGAGTCACCTCTGCAGGTGGTCCATCCTGAACCGAGACATCACCCTCCCTTGGACCCTCGACAGCAGCCGCACCTGGACTCTGGCTCCTTGTCCCCCGGACGACAAGGCCAGCAGCCTCAAAGGGACCCCCCTAGAGAAGGCTTGCGGCCACCCCCGTACAGACCGCGCAGAGACGCTTTTGAGTTTTCTACTGAAGGGCGTTCTGGCCCTAGCAATAGGGACCGCTCAGGCCCCCGTGGGACCCGTTCTCACAACCCTCGGAACCCGACGTCCGCTGCCATGGGCAGCTCTGTGCCCAGCTATGGCCAGCCCATCACCACTGTGACGGCTTCCGCGTCTGTCACTGTCACTGTGCATCCGCCACCAGGGCCCGGACGCCACCCCCGAGGGGGACCCTGTCCGGGCTATGAGAGCTACCCTGAGACTGACCACGGGGTGTTCGAGGACCCCCATGTGCCTTTTCATGTCAGGTGCGAGAGGAGGGACTCGAAGGTGGAGGTCATAGAGCTGCAGGACGTGGAGTGTGAGGAGAGGCCGTGGGGAAGCAGCTCCGACTGAGGCGTGTGCCCCAGGGGTGCTCTCCAGGGTTTCCTGAGCACTAGCACACCCCAGACTGGACCCTGGGGGACCTTTCCTCCCCAAGGCAAGGCTGGTGCGGCCAAACCAATACAGTTCCAAGCTGGATCTCTTCTCACTAGTAATCTCTTGAAAGCAGTTTAGCGGCGTTGCCTTGCGCCTGTTTGCCGCCGCCGGCAGCAGTTCTAAGGAGCACGCAGATGACCCTGCAAGGTGAAGACAGGTGAAATGAATTTAGCTCCACAGTCAGCCCACTGTAGAGTTCCTGTGCTCTCAGTGTCCACCCGGAGTTAGGGGCTGTGCGGTGTGAGAGGCGCACAGCTCTGTGGTCGTGACCGTGATGTGACTTCCTTTTTTGTTTTCTTTTAAAGGGTAATTAAAATCTGAAGCAAAGAGGCCAAAGATTGGAAAAAAAAACAAAACAAAACAAAACAAACCCCGCCCCCACCTCTTTCCAGTACTGACTGCTTGAAGAGAACTGCTTGGAATTATGGGAAAGCAGTTCATTGTTACTGTAATTGATTGTATTATTTTGTGAAATATTTCTATAAATATTTAAGAGGTGTACACATGTAATATACATGGAAATGCTGTAAAGTCTATGGCCTG